CGGCGCGTGAACTTTTTCCCGCAGATTTCACACGGATAGGGTCTTTCTCCCGTGTGGGATCGCATGTGTCTCTTCAGGATGCATTGGTGCATGGCTGAAAAACTGCAGTACGGGCACTTGAATTTCTTTCGGATCACGGTGAACTCGTTGACTGCAAGAAAGCAAGCAGAACAGGTAAATCACTTTCAGGACGTCCCAGAAGGGTCACTTTTCCTGCTTAACGTTTTACTATCGAATTGTTTCACTGTGAAAGCATATTCTCACCTCTTAACCACCTAAACATATTTATACTGCACGATTAAAGCTAAGAGCTTCAAGCACCTTCATCAGAGAAGCCTTTGAAAGAGCCAGTACACAAATACGTAGCAACAGCCATCGGCACACATTGTCCAACGCTTTCTCAAGAGCAAACAAAGGCGGCTGACAATCTGCTATGTTTATTTATTACAATGAATCAGCCTAAATAGCAACATCTGAAGTTCTAACGCAACTCTTATTTGTGGAAGTAGCAGCTCGCTGCGGAGCGAGGACCACAAAGCAGGAAGGAGCCCGAGCGCGCCGTGAGAATCCCCGTCGTTTCCTTCACGGAGGGGCGCAGGTAAGAACTACCTTACAGCAAGGTACGTACTCCGGTAGCGTTTCCAGGAACGCGCCGTGACTGAGGTATAGCCAGAAGTAAAAGGACATCTCTGACGAACGCACGCAACAGTAGCCAACTTTCAGCTCGCGTTACCAGTGTGGCACGGGCAGGGAAACACAGAAGGAAGCACAACACTGAACTGAAGCATGACAAACCTCCTTACAACTCAGCTGTATAGTCCTTGGTGGACTACTACTTTTTTTTTTTTTTTTTTAAATCACATTTCCTGGACTGGAAGATGATGAATTTTCTGAAGTCATTCTGATATTTTTGATTCTTCTTGTCATCTCTTCAGAAGTGCAGTGAAAGCAAACTCAAGGAACCCAAACAGTATTGGCAGCCCAGGGGTCTAATTTGCCAGAAGAACACACACAGCAGCTGTGTCGGTCTTTGCTCCTCCAAATAAAATGAAAGTGCAAAATGCAAAATATGGCAGGTGAAAATAGACTATTGGCTATTCCCTAAGGAAATCCACCCAGTATAAATTTGGAAATGACTGTCCACGAGGATATAATTTTTATCTCCACCTTCTATAATTCTATTTCTTTCCATTAATATGTTAATTTTCACCCGCTTCTGTCCTAATTATTGTCATTTCTCAAAACAATGTACTGTTTACATAACAAGCAGAAAAAAAAGAAAAGCAAATTCTGGTTAATCATCTTAAATATGCTATTGTATATGTAAATGGTTTCTTTTGGTAAATGAAGTCATGAAGGGAAAACAAAGGGGAAAAGGGAAATCCCGTATCTACTATAGGTTTCTGACATACCGAATACTTTGCAATATTTTTAGATACTTATTCAAATGTTATCTCCTACAAATGCCCTACTAGCTGAATGCATGATGCATGTTCTCGGTATGCCACAGATAACGCCCTGGGGAGTTAAATTGTTTTCTGAAAAAACCCAGCTACTTAAAAATAGACTTCTCCCTGCCTCCCCCCCCCCCCCCCTTTTTTCCCCCTACACCCGCGTTACTTAATACCCAATTTGTGGGCTTTTTCTTCCTTCTGTTTTGAAAATTTACTTTGTCTTATATATGCAATGCAGATGCAAACAACGTGAAAAGTAACTACATTTGACTCTCATGTAAAACCAGTGAAAACTACATCAGGACGCTGTTGGTGCTAAAAAGCTGGCGCGGCATAGGCAAAGATGTCTTCAGTGGAGGAGGAAATAGTGTTAGAAATGTCACTCTAACTGACCATTTGCTCTCTTTTCCATCAAGAAATCCAGGCAGAGGATAAAGAGCTATGCAGCTTTCAATATAAAGACAAAATACACTTATCCGCACGGTTCCAAAAGGTGTACGAGCTTTATTTGTTCAGTATCTGGCTGGGGAATAAATAAAGCAGAATTCCATAGGAAGTGCAATTCCTCTTCCTCTTGCTAGGAGCAATCTTCTCTCTAAGGCAATGCTGGAAAAAAGCCTACAGAACTGTGCTGGAAGGTGCTTTGCTACTGCAGCCACCGCTTTAACGAAAACTCACATTCACCACCTTTTAAATCAGAACAAATGTTTCAACACAAGCTCATCTTACCAAAGTTTTCCAAGAAGCTTTTTGTTCTAACGTAAAATAAAAGCATGGTTCAAAAAATCGTAAAAGCTGTCACGGTATGAATTTTGTCTTAGCATTTGTTCTGGCTACCTCCAAGTTAAAAAAGCCACCCCACAGGTAACTGAAAGAAAACCCCCTCGATCAGCAGTTCGAATTGGATCTAATATTCTTTACTCCTAAATTGCTCCTCTGGGCTGCTCCACAGCTGTGGTATTGCATCCTACCAGTGCCTAAAGCGTATTTATAAAGCAGTCATGAGAATTTTCTAATCCTAAACGGGGTGCGGGGGAATATCTACTCACTCACTCGCCTGGACCAAAGTTGCAATAGTGATGACAATGATAATGAAAGCTAAGAATATTTTATTCACCTGTCAGTAAAGATTACTTACTGCAATTAAGTGGAATTTTAAAAGGCCGGTTTAATGTGATTATACGCACACACGCTTGCGCTGCTTTGGGGATCTCCGAGACGAGGTACTTCAACACGCAAGTTGCAGGCACCATTGGCTTCCCGAGGAGACGTTCTAACGTCCAGAGCTTTGTGCAAGCTTTTGTTGCAGCGCAACAACCCAGCTCGTCTGCACAGTCCTACCACACATCCAACTTCTTACTTGCACTCTTGTTGAAAACAACTAGAATATGAGAAGGCCTTTTATATTTACTCCCTTCCTGGGAAAACTCAAATTATAGGACAACTATTTTTTGCTGCATCTTCTCCTTTGGATATGACACATCACCCTCCTCTACACAATCTGAGGCAAGGAGCCCACTTTCTCATACAGGAAAATCCTTAGCAAGTTTCAATTTTATGACACAAAGCTGTTTACGAGAAACGTTTCCAGTTTGATCTTGTAACTGCTTGGATATGAAGAGTAGGCCATACAGAAAACACATTTGTATTCCCCAGGATCACTGTAAACCTATTACTGTGTAGTCTAGACGAGGTAAGCAAGCTATAAGCTGATCAGCTGAAGTCACCAGGGGTCATATACCCTTCCTTGCTCCAGTCCAAGGCCATTTCCACAGCGTAAACTCAGCACACGCGGGGAACGCGGCTAGCGGTGACAAACTGCTCAGGGAGCCGCGTGAGCCACCTCGCTGCCTAAAATCTGCCATGGAGCAAGCAACACAGTAACTAGGTCCCAACGTCATGAAGCAAAAGTGCTCTAGAGAAAAGAATACTATGAAATACTTTATTTCCTACATCACCAGATCGTACCTGATCCGGTCATTTCCTAACTGACCGGATGCTTTCCACCATTTACTGTCCATGACTTATCCCTTCTGTTTATACGCTTGAGCTAGTGCAGAAGCTCAGAAGGCAACTCCAAACAATAGGTGCACAACCCGTCTCGCTGACAAGCTACTCTCACACGCAAACAGTTATCTAGATTCGCATGCATTTACCCCACTTTAGTTGCCTAATCAGAGCATGTTCACACCGATAAGGTTCATATTTGCATACCTAACTGGGACAAAAAAGCCCACGCTTGGATATTTTCAAAGAATAGTTACAAATCCATCATCCCATTTTAATTATTTCTATTTATCAAAAGAGATGAAAGCCTTAAGGTCAAACACATTCAAAATCTGTTTCTAACAACATGTTCATAACAATTCCCAATTACAATATCCCTCATGCTTACTTTTGCCTGTATTCATCTTAAATCACTAGAGAGTAATATTTTCAGCTTCCAGTACGCTTATATTTAAAAATAGTCACAGAACAGTTTTTGCAGTTATAGTTTTATTGAAAACTCTTTCACCAAATAGCCATATATTTGATTTTTCTAGCTACAAAAGTCAACACCTGAAAAATAACAGCATTATAGACAAAAAAAATATGTATTGCAGAGTTAACAGTTTCACAGTACTGTTAAATATACATGCCTACAAGCACATATATTTAATGAGCAACATACCAACTTTGGTATAGGCATAACTTTTTGTCTCAATGACAAAGTTAAAACGTACAAACTATTGGCCCTACATAAAAAGGCTCGTATTAATATTTTATAGAGCTTAAGTATAGCAGCATTAAGGTCTAAAGAAATAATCTTTAACAAGATCACCAAGACCATTAACAGTAGCGCCGTAGATAACTAGCTACTGGACAGGACTATACGAAGAGTAGCACCAAGAAATGGAGAACATGATATAAACCGTGCCATAGTAAAAATCTATGTACTTAATTTCATTAAAATATTTACAGACGATGCACATTCTTAAAACTAACCCAACAACAATGCTTGAAAAAGTAGCCTTTGGTATTGTCATCTCAAGTAACTATTTATTTCACTGAGGTTAATTTTTCTTGGCTTTCATGTTCTAATATTTTTCTTTGATAATAAAGTTACCGCTCTTTCTCCATTTTAAAAAAGTAACACATAGTTTAAACACTATACTGTTTTGGAAATGCATTTTCTGTCCATCACCTTTCAAAGAATCTTTTTAAAGAATGAATAAACTACACAAATATAATAATAAAAAAAATGGTCTATCAACCTCTCATGAAAATCATTCAGGAGTTCCTCTGAATCAGAGGAATCAGAGAAAGTAAAGCATCAACTAAGACATTTGCTAAGTTTGGGTGGCAGAACATTGCTAGTACATATATACTTCCCTCAAAATATTTTACAACTGTGTAATTTTCAATTTCCATAGATCAGAAAGAAAATCTTTTAGTGTAATATCGTGTCTTAAAAACACTGTATTCTAGTAGTGCATTGGAAAGCGTGACTATTGCAAAGAAATCAGATCAGATTTG